TCCCCATTCACCATTCTCCTGTAAGGCCGGTCTCACGGGGCTTACAGTTCCATGTCCGTGGAATATGAAGCTGCATAAAGGGCGTCCACCTTTTATCACCAGCATGATCTGGACTGGCGGAAAGACATCGGGTGGAGGGACGACAACCAGTTCCTTTTCCTGTTGTCAGATGTCCCGCGACAGGAACCCGAGACCTGTGTCTACTCCGACCTCTGTCGTGGAGATAAGTCTAAGGTCAGTTACGTTGTGTACTCTGTCGATCTTATCATTTCTAAAAAAATCTATGCATTTACAAGTCGATGCATAACAATTCTGAAAATTTATAAGTCGAGGTGTCATAATTCTAAGAATTTTCCTCATTTTCACCGGGTACTTTTCTGTCCTCTTCGAAGCTACGAAAACAAATTCCTTCAGGAGCGCCTCAGTGCCACATCTCCTCCCGTGGCTCGCCCTTCCTGGTGTTGCAACCCGTCAAGTGGGAGTACCTGAGTCACAATCCGGAGATAATGATCTTCCCGAATTTCTTGTCGAACGAGGAAGTCAGGATCATTATTTACTTGTCACGGGACCATGTGAGTTTTTGTTTGGGGGTAATAAAGTTGTTGTTTTTTTATTACAGATCCAATGCCCCTAAAAGTAGATTAGCATTGTCACCAACAGTAAATTAATATTTCTACCAAGCAGATACATTTGTTGCTTTTCACAGAGCAACAAAGTCCATTGATTTACCCATTCTTCCCTAGATGATGAAGGATCTAGGAAGCGGAGGGCGGCAATCGCACCATATATTCCTGGCCAACAGTACACATCCTTTAATAACTCGTCTTACGCGGAGGATCGAGGCTGTGACAGGCCTCCTCGCGCACGAAGGAGCGAACGGCAAGGAGGATGCGGGAGATCCTCTTAAGGTAGGACTCTTACTTATTTTCTCACTTGGTTTCTTGATGTAAGTTCTAGCAAGGGCCCCGCGAGTGCTAGGGCCATCCTGGAAAAGCACCCGATTTTTTTCTGTTTCTAGGAACTGAACTTTCGCTTGTCGGTGGTCGTCAGGTATTGAATCTAAAGTCATCTAATTTTATCTTAAAAGCCTCTACAGTGCACTGAATTATCTTTATATTTTACCGGTACACTATTAAACAGCTTTGGCACACCATAATTCTATTTCTTCCTTAAAAGTGAGGTTTGGCCGTTTATCCCAGTACGACTGCACGCCCTTCCCTGTCTACCTCTCTTGAATTTGTCGCCAAATTTTCAGTGATTTCCATACATATATGATGAAGTGGATTTCTCTGTCTTTATAAAGAGGACGGCCCATTTTTTATTATTATTATTTTTTTAATTCCCACGTTGTCTAATTTTCGGATGAACGTATCTTTTGTATTTTTCTTTCAACCTCCGTAGTATGATAGGATATTGTCTCAGATTTTCAGTTGGACTAAACCTAAACCGTCAAATATCTTAGTATTGAATTACCTATCGGTTAACTTAACCCTAATAATAAAGTTAACTGATAGTGGATTTATCCTTAGACCCTCAATTGGCGTTACTTTGAAGTGTTCAGTAACTATATCGATGCCCCAATCATAATTGGGTACCAGAGGCTCAAAAACTGACCCATGTGGCAGTTGATATATTTGAGAAAGTTAGTTTTTCTTTTTTACCCTATCCACCTAACTTTCACCTACCTTCATCTCTACGTCTACTCTGTTCTGCACTGTAATCTGACGTCTGTTTCTCGGAGTTGCCTGTGAGATAAATGAAAAGGGTTAATGAAATTAGACACGTAAAATTATGTAAGATGAATTCTGATATTTCTGTGTTCTTTTCATTTCTATCATTGAGACTTATCTATCTGACAGCAACAACAAAAGCTCAATTTAAAATTAGTGTACGTCTTACGGCTTCTTCAAATTAGTATGGTCATTACTATCACTTAGATTCCATTTCGTGTTATCATTATATGAAATCAAGTTAATCTGATCATACAGAATCATTTCCCCTTTATCATAGTTGATACATAGAATCCTTTTCCTTCCATTCACAGGTCCGTAACTACGGCACAGGGGGGCATCTGAATCCCCACGTCGACGTCTTCGCCAAACACGTGAACTCGACGGTCAGAAGACACTTTTCTTTATTTGAGGGACTTTAATGTTTCTGACACACTTTACCGTATTGTTTATTATAGAGAACGTGATGTTACGGACACTGCTAACGTGATTGCTATTAAGAGAAAATCGAATGTTTCGGGAACAACTTACATAACTATTTATTACAGACAATCTAGTGATCTGAAAAATATTTTATTTATTTATTTTATTCTTGTGTGTGTGTGTTTGAGACTACCCAGAATTTGACTAAAGTTTACCCCGAAATCTGGAGTTCTGAGAACTGTATCATAAATTGTATTAGCTGTTCTGTTCATCTAATTTAATTTCCGATGCAGTGTGACGGTAACCCGAAGTGCTCCAGTTCTGGGGATCGCATTGCCACCTTTATGCTTTACGTAGGTGTACTGAAAATAACTAATTATTTATTATCTTCACTTCATGAAAGATGTGCTGGTTCTGTAATGACTGACGAAAGCATTTGATAACTATACCATTTCACGTTAGTTATAGTGTATGCATACATACATGATGCACATATCCACATCCATATATTAATTTCAACATACCTCTCGCAGCTAAACGACGTAAAAGCTGGCGGAAGTACAGCCTTCTACAGCAGTGACGTGGTTGTAACACCAACAAAGGGCATGGGTGTGTTCTGGTACAATCTGAAGAGGAACGGCTTGTACGACCGCAGAGTGGACCATGGAGGATGCCCGGTTCTGCTGGGGTCCAAATGGGGCAAGTGAATCCAAAGTGTAAAGCTCTGATGATTCGAAATGTTTCCAGAGTCTTCGAACCGATACGTATTCAGATTAATTCGGAGAGTGTTCCCTTATAGATCCATGAAGCCATGACAGTCGATTTTTTTATCTTTTATTTTTTATTATATTAACATCGAACTTTCATCTCCCGCAGTCGCCGTGAAGTGGATCCGTGAGAAAGCAAACTTCCTTCGGCGTCCGTGCTCGATGGACCCAGAAGAATGATGCTCGCAACCTTGCCTTCCTGTAACATTTCATATTTTCTTCATCTTTTAATTAACAGGCTTCGTATGGAAAAAATAAAATTGTTAAGAAATTGCTATGCACTTTTTCTTTCTATATGCTGATCTGTTCATTAATCGCAATTTCTGTTCACAAGTTTTACGTGGAACTTTACATTCTACCTTTCTTTAAGTGTTTTTGAAATGTACGGAAAATATACCTTCGTGGTAATTATATGACTACTTTTCGTACACCGTTTTTCGTAAAAAGACAATATTTATATTTTCCTAAATTAATGAAAGGGGATGATAGGGACAGTGTCATTTTCCAAATAAAGGCCTATGCCTTTCATGTTTTTCATTGTGTGTGTGTGTGTGTGTGTGTGTGTGTGTGTGTGTGTGTGTGTGTGTGTGTGTGTGTGTGTGTGTGTGTGTGTGTGTGTGTGTGTGTGTGTGTGTGTGTCCTCATCCCACTTATACAACGATAATGCTAAGATATGTGTACTTATAACATTTGATGTTAGAATTCACTTTCTTCACTTCCTTTATGACAAAAGTGAGAATTAGATAAATAAATTTCCAAATATTAATTCACTTTATCATAATACAATTCGAGAATGTTGAGAAAAGTACATTTAATTGCTATCAAAACTTCATTTTCTCCCAGTAGGTGGTTAACAACTGTACGTCTCCATAATTTTCTTGTGTATTATATAGCATTTAGCAAAGTATCTGCCTTAGTATGCTTAGTATTATGCCTTAGCATAAGATATTGAAATAATGTAGTTTCTTCAGAAGTGAATAAAAGCACATGTGACTTTTATTTGTTGCTTTACCTACGTACGTTTACGCAAATAGAAATTTCAGTAACTCGTCCATTCATTACAACTATCACACATTTGAAACCATATCTGCAGTAGAATATCATTGTATATATTAGTAATATCCTCACATCATTCATTAAGACATCAATTAACAGACAAAAAAGCACTGTTTATCATACAAGATAGTAGCATATGCTGGAAATATTCTGGCTGTTTCTCTCTTAATTATTGTAATTGTATTTACTCTCTTTCTATTATTAACTTGAGCAATTATGTACTTATGCTCATTCTATCCACCATTCCTTACTTTCCACACCATTAAAATGCTTGAAATGCTTGGTAAATAGGAAAAAAAATCCTAAATTTCTGAACCAACTGAGTTCTTAGTTTTATTCCTGAGAGGATACACATACACCATGCCTCTACATTAACTATTTATTGCTAATATTACAGATAAAATACATTTCCAAAATAACATATACTCCGTAAGATGGAAGGAATACGATTCATTTTTTAATGATGGTTGGGCCTATGTTTTGCTTTTGCCCCTCTTATTCTGAATAAATATTTTGAAAAAAGTCACAGTCCTAATTTTTTTCCTTTTAATCATTAGTATAACTTTTTTTGAATAATAGAGAAACAGACCACAAATTACACACATTCTTTACCTATATTACATTTTCTGTTGTATGAAATCACTGAATTAATTAGGACCAATTAAAAATTTTGACAAAGAAAACTCCCAAATAGAAAGTAATTTTATTTCATATATAACTTTCAAAAGCTGCTTCATGCTTACATCATTCAATAATATTCAGTTCTAAAGGCTTCTTCATGAAAGAATTTCTCACATATTTGCATGATTTCATACATTCAATAATTACATGGACACTGCAGTTAATGCATCCTCCACGTAAAAAAAAAAAAATCTGAACATCTAAATCTCAAATAGATATTGTTCTGAGACTCTTATTTCATCTAAATTTATCATATTATATGACTTGTTCACATTTACAAATGTTTTAAATCACTGAAGACATCTTTTTCCAAGTTTTGAAGATGAGGATGGAAAGATACTCATATTTATATAGAAGATAGTTTTCACTTTCTAAAATAGCAAGAACTAGCTATCTTTATGCTGTGCTACACATATATCAACTACATCCTACAGAAAGTAACAAATTCATACTCTGAAAATGTTCTGCACATTACGACACCATGTGAGTTCCAATTATGTTTACACAAACATGTAACAGAAAACCAACAAAACAGAATATAACAAAACATAACAACAAAAATGAATGGATGAGAGAAAGTAAAAATCTGAATTTCCTTTAACAGGCAAAAAAGAAAGGTACTTCTGTCACCCTAAAAAATATCTGACACCAACACCCTTAACAAAAACTGAAATAACATTATAGTGCCTTAGAACCTAGATCTCGCAAGTGCATAAATAAATATCATTGTTTTTAAAAACAGTTATATTCTATTTTTATTTTTTTGTACGAATAATAAAATAAACGGTAGATTTAATCAACTGAAAGTAAGGTATATATTTAAACATGAAGAAAGAGAGAGAGAGAGAGAGAGAGAGAGAGAGAGAGAGAGAGAGAGAGAGAGAGAGAGAGAGAGAGAGAGAGAGAGAGAGAGAGAGAGAGAGAGAGAGAGAGAGAGTGAGAGAGAGAGAGAGTGAGAGAGAGAGAGAGAGAGAGAGAGAGAGAGAGAGAGAGAGAGAGAGAGAGAGAGAGAGAGAGAGAGAGAGAGAGAGAGAGAGAGAGAGAGAGAGAGACAGAGACAGAGAGAGAGAGACAGAGACAAACAGAGAGACAGAGACAGAGACAGAAACAGACAGAGAGACAGAGATAGACTGAGAAAGAGAGACTATACTTTGACAGGCAAAGAGTACCTGTACATAACTTTAAAAATATCAATATCTGACACCAACACCCTTAAACTAAAAGAAATTGTTGTACCTTTGAACCTAGATCTTGCAAGTGCCTTAGTAAAATAAAACATGTCTTAAGAAAACTTTTCTCTTTTCACTGAATAATAATATCAGACTGACTGCATAATGAATCTTCTTTAATTTTCAAATATTATTTCATACAAAGAGGGAAGAGAGACGGAAAGGGAGAGGGAGAGGGAGAGGGAGAGGGAGAGGAAGAGGGAGAGGGAGAAGGAGAGGGAGAGGTAGAGGGGGGAAGGCAGAGGGACAGAGGGAGGGCAGGAGAGGGAGAGGGAGAAGGAGAGGGAGGGGAGGGAGGAAGGAGGCAGGGAGAGGGCAGGAGAGGGAGAAGGAGGGGAGGGGGGAGGGAGGCAGAGGGAGGGCAGGAGAGGGAGAACAAATAAATATCAAGGAAGAAGGAAATGGCAAACACTGGAATACCAAATTCCTTTCTTGGGTCTGAGATAATTTCAGGACTTAATGTACCTGTGTTTTATCATGTTCTTTGGTGCCAAATATGAACCCAGTTAAAGAATATTATAAAGAGCTATTGTCCCCAAACAAACAATTTTTACCCCAGAGTCTGTGGAACAGGTATTTTTTATACTGGGCTTATGGGAAAAATATTAGTGTTCACACTTAAATTGATTTGATCAGGGCAAACAAATATTCACAAGGCAAAGGGCATATCTGTTAAATCTTGTACTTTTTTCTTCATATTTTTCTTCATATGACCTAATAGACTGTTGAGAAATCCTATTAAGAGCTATACTGTGGACATGTATTAACATACATAGGCAATTATTTCCCCTAATAATAATTTTCTTATATCAGTATACCTAGTACCAGATAATTCCCTTTTATTACAATGCAGTTTAAAGATTCATCTCCAAATAAGATATATAAATATACATCTTTAGTTATATATTTTCTTTGTCAAATTCCAGCAGATCTATTCACATACATAAAGACAAAGAGAGAAAAAAAAATCACTAAACACAATGTTACAACACTCCTACATAAAATATCTAAATGCCTGATTTTTCATGTTTATTACACCAATTTCCCAATCAACAGTTATGCATGAATTTGACTAGTAATTTTGTATTACAGCAGTATAAATTCCAAGAGTGTAAATTTGCTACAATATTCCATTTTGTACATTGAAAGTGTCCACCAGAAATTGAAACACTGATCCTTCTCACTGCTAAGCCGAAAACGATATCTCAAGCAAGATCCTCTCTTGGGAAAATGTGAAACACTACTGAAGTTTAAACTTCAGCGGCCAAGATAAATATTGGCCCCTGAATATGATGATGAATTCAAAACAGAGAGAGAAAAAAAAATGTACACACATACTGTATGGACAGCTCCAAAAATGCATACTTCCCTATCTGCAATTAAATAATTGTATATATATAAAATTCTATAAAACTAAATATTGCTAATTCATATCCATATGCTAAAAATATATCTAATACTGTTAAACATTTTTCTCATCAACAAAAGAAATAAACATCTTGTAGTTTTCAATATAGAAATTATGAAGTCATCACAGCAGGAGATTGTAAATGACCAATAAATAAAATAAATGTGTGTGTGTGCAGTATGTATATGTAGTGTGTGTGTGCGTGT